AATAAAATGAGTAATTTCTGAACAACAGACCATCTCTGAGCTCGTCTTCTACCAGCAGAACAATCAAATCATCCAACACTGGCTTTCGAACACGATAACAGGTTCCCCATGAGCCCACATGCCATCATGTCAATATGAAACTAAATCTCTGGAGGAATGTTTCTGACAAGTTGCTGAATCTTTGCCACGAAAAACGGAGGCAGTTCTGAAAGCAACAAGGGGTTGAACACGATACCAGCAATAAAAGTGGCTGGTGAGCATTTGCTCACAGCAGACCGACTTTCTCACAAGCAGGGAAGGCTTCTGATAGCTTTGCTCTGCAACTACACAATGCAGGCTCTCATTATCTAGTGAATGGCAGGGGAAAAGTGCTGCTACTTCAGTTTTTCCCAGTCTACCATTATAAGATCACTGGCAGAGTGTGGATGATTGCAGGCAGGTGGAACTTGTATTATATTAATTACCCATATTAAAGAAACCACCTGAGCAACACCCATACTGAAAAATACAGACAAGTGTATCACAAGATACGATACGATTTTAGAAGTGCAAGCTAACCCAACTTCCAACATCTTTGCTGGACTCAAAATGTTGCCAAATGATTGAGTTGCTCCTCTTCGTCCTCAACGCTACAATATTTGAAATTTCCTCTTTTTCTTAACCTGAGTTTCTGTATCATGCAACCAAGTCCTCTAAAAACCGCAGCTATCACTTCCCTGGCAACATTTGCTCACCTTCACATGCTTGCTTTCTCAACTTCCACACTACAGTAATCTGTAAGGCCACCCAGACATGCTGCTAAAGTGGCCTTTGTCTGCAGGACGGTGTTTGGCATCTCCTCCTAATGCTAGTTCCTGTTGGAAAACAAAAGGGAGCACAGGGGAGCACTTTACAACAGGGGGGGGGGAGCACAGTTTGGCCCGCCATTTGTCTAATGAACAATCAGTCACACTTTGGTACAAGGCCATATGTTAGTTTGGATACAGCTTGCTCCCTTGTGTGGAGAGCCTGAAACCTGTTTCATCACTCACAGATGGCTGCGTGCCACGCACACATATCCAAAACCTTGAGAACGAAAGTTAGTGAAGGTTCAACAAGATAAGGGTGAGTGGAAAAGAGCAACAGCATAACCCAGTTTCTGCAACGAGTTGGAGTTTAATGCGATCCAAACAAAGCTTGGAGGGAAACGGTTCTGAATGTGGTTTGGTGGGAGATGACGGAGATAACCGTATAAAAACCAGTCTCTGCTGCTAATGTTTGCAGAAGAAAACAAAGTGGGTTAATGTCTCTGGGTGGGTTAATAAGCACTGACAGCTTGTACTGTCAGTGCTTATTAATATAACGCTGAGACAGTGTGATAACAGAGCAACTGGTTGGGGTAATTATTATTTCCTGTATAACAGCATTTGATGAATAATTCAAGTTTGTTAGTTTGTGCATTTTATGTTCACAGTTTCATTCCTTATGTTCGACCCACTGGTCTGAAGCCTGGAGCATTGACGTGTCTCTCAGCTCTGTATCAGACATTTCTCTGCCCCGTGTGATTACAGGTCCATATTGTTGCACGGGGCGGTTCTGCTACCGCTGATTACGCCTCATAGAATATGGAAATGACAGGAGAAGTTTCAGATGCCTTCGTGGTGACGCAGATGTCTGGTGTCTTCCTACGACAACAAGCTCAGCAGCTTCAAAGACGGGGACGTAATTAAGTCTGTCATGATGGCAAATTTTACTGGACGACAAATTGTCCCAGAAGTTATCGCGATAAACGATAATATTGTTTTGAGGTGATATAACGGTAAGGGTGTAATAATGCAAGAACACATTCTCAAATATCAATAAACTTTAAATTCTAATGAACTTTTAACACTGGAACTAAGACATTTTGAATATCCAAAATAAATAAATAAAACAAAAGAAAGAACAAATTAAAATTAATTATAAAGCCTCTGTAAACTAAATTTTCTAGCTGAGAGCAAAACTCCAGACTGAAAAGTTTTATCATCCACTTTTAGGTAAAAAGAGGAAAAGAAAACAGAAAAAAAGGATAAATCAGACAGACAGACAAATTTATCATGTGATTAATTGAGTTATTGGTTATTGTGACAGACAGTCGTATTTCTGCCCACTATGAAGTGTAGATTTTGATGGGAAAACTTTTGTACAGATATGTTCACTGCAAAATAACAAAATCTTACCAGGTATTTTTGCTCTAGTTTCTGGTGAAACATCTCAGTACACCTACAAGTAACTTTTTAGCAAGAAATAAGAGTTTGTTTTAAGTCAACAATTCCTTAATATTCACAAAAAGTATTGGTTCCACTGAAAAAGACATTCATTCCATATTATACAATAAATAATCTGCTGGTGGAGCTAGTATTTGTCTAATGAATTATTGACTTAAACCACTGTTTCTTGCTGAAAAGTTACTTGTAAGTTACTTTCGTCTTATTTCGGGATATTGCAGTGAAAACTCGAACAACATTTTTTGGTAAGATTTTGTCTTTTTGTAGCGTTAGCAGTGTATTCCTACAGAAATGACAAACAAATACTCGTATAAGTCCCTGAAGGAGCGACCTTCCTCCTGAGTGCTTCCTTTTACTTTCTGCATGAAATCATCACAACAGCAGAGCTGTCACTGCGATTCCCTTCCACTTCTCTCTCACTTTTTCCGCACTTTGAATACATTAAACTTCAAACGTGTCAAGAAAGGCTCTGACTGAGGGGAAACGGTGAACCGCGTCAAAGAGAAGCCAACTCCAACCTGATTTATCTGTGTCGAGTGAAGCTTGTTCCTTTGAATCTTAGGTGGTAATTTAGACTTTAATTCAGTGTTTTATTGAAATTTCAAAGCAAGTCTGGATGTATTTATTTCAAAGAAAATGGTAATCGGTCAATTAATTTTTAGTAGTAAGGATTTACTGTCCAGTACGTTGTTTGTAGTGTGTGCTCTGCTTGTAGTTTTCAAAACCAGAACAGTGACATAAAACCCGATCCACCACCCGGGACTGGATCCCTGAAGGTTCCCAGTACGCCAACAAGTGAAGGCTTTAATAGCAGCAAAGGGACGTTTAAGTAATGAAAATCCAGCTGATTTAGGTAGAAACAGTCTGAAGATCCAATCTTTTAGAACAAGGTTACCGCTTCCAAAACATACCAGGGTTTTTAAAAAGATGCAGTTTCAAAACCACTAAAATTTAGTGCCATGGCATGTTAATGATTTCCCTCTAATGAGAGACCAGAAAGTGCAGGAGGGAAGTCCTGAACTGGAAAATCTACAAGTGGGTTTCCAGTGTCAAGCTATCCAGAGATTTTAAAATCCCCCCCAAAAAATTATCTCATGGCGTTCCAGTTGTTGAGACTCAATAGAAAGTGCTGGATGGGTCTCCAGCTCCAGTTCTCGAAGGCCGGTGTCCTGCCAAGTTTAGATGCATCTCTGCTCCAACACAGCTGATTTAAATGGTCCATCTATGATCTGAGCATGTTAAGGTTTCTGCAGAGGCCGGGTAATGAACCGTCATTTGATACAGGTGTGTTGAACCAGGAAAAGAACTGAAACCTGCAGGAAATTGGCCCTTGAGGACTGATTCTGGACCCCACTGGACCAGAGCTCTTTAAGTTTGTGGGTTAATGCCATAAAACCACACAGGTCATTTTTTCACAAATTAGTAAATCATGGATGTTACATTGCCATTTTAAGAAAAGAATTGACATTAAGTAAAAGAAAACCTTTTAAAATGCTTCCTAAGAGCCTAATGACCAAAACCCATCAATAACTCAACAGAACTATAAGGGTGCATTTTCACCAGCCCTGTTTAGTTCGCTTGGGTCAAACTGTAGTTTGTTAACAGGAAGTCTGATTTGTTTGGGAAGGTGTGAATGCACAATCAAACTGTGATGCAGACCATAAAAGCCACAAATCTAGGTTTCGGTTCAATGGAAGTGAATTCTGGTGCGGTTTGACTGCTTATGTGAACACCAAGTGGACTGGAGACCACTGTACAAGCAGGAAGTGGACTACAGTGCAGGGCATTCTGGGTAAATGCAACTAGAACAAATGCAAGAGTCTAGAGTTAGTAAGAGGAATGGCTCGTCACCTTTTACCAAAGACAAAAAATAAAACCTACAATCACCAAAATCTGACACCACTCCATTTTTGTTCTCATGTCTTCTTCAGGTGTTTTTGTCTCATTTCCTTCAGTGGTTCTTGGTGCAGCGCCACCACAGGCGAGGAGCTTTTTTTAAAGTTAGTTTAGTTTGTTTGATAGAGTGCAGTGTGAATATGAACCACAGCTAAACATTTAACAAATGTTGCAATTTTGGTCCCCAATCAAACCGAGTCTACCGGATTATCAAGTGAAAAGTCAGTGTGTAGTCAGCTGTCTGTAACAGAAGTAAACATTGAAAAGAGCAGCATTGTTCGTAGTTTATATTATCAGCTAAATAATGCCAATTGATTTACATGCCTTAATGCATGTAGTATTTGTCTGTTTTGTCTTATGGCTGTTAACAGCTGATCCATCCGGATCTGAACTCCCCTTTAACCTTTCAGTCTTTACATGTCTGCTGCTCCGCCATGCCTGGAATACTAATGTTGCAAATGTCAATGCAAATCAGAGTCTAACAATAAAGCAGCACAAGCCTGCTGTGATGGTTAAAGGACGAAAGCCTTTCTGTCTGTTTTGCAGCCGCAGCAGCAGCTCTCGCTCCGGCACTCTGCCTCCTGTCGTCGGTAACAATGGCTTTTCGCTTGTGCTGTCAGCATCTTGCTGAAAAGAGTCTGTCAACAAGCTCTTTCTGCTGTGATTCTCACTGATTTTACACGTGTGTGCAGAGGCTGGAATCCCTCAAGGCAGCAGCTATGCATTACTGCAGAAAACCAAAGGGCACCAGTATGTTTGAAACACAAATATGTGTTGGAGATGAAAGTGGTGGATTTTCTTCTTTCTTTTTTTTTTAACATCACATGCGCAGCATTTGAAGATGAAACTCAGCCATACCATGCGGATCCCTTTGTTGCTCGTCTTTGTTCAGGTGAAACTGATTGTGACTTGTCCTGCTTTTCTCCCCCAGCTCCTGTTTTCATGGGCTGTAGGACAGAAACACAAGACAAAAACAAAAAAACACGTTAGGACCGAGCCAACGAGGTGAATAAATAGCAAAGGAGTGGAAAGCAGAAATAAATGTGGCAATTCTTTCTTATAATCGATCTGAGCAAAATGAAAGTGGGAGAAAAAAAAACCCACAGAAAGGGAAATTCTGGGCCACTTAAAATGACAGAGTTTGCATTTATTATGTATGAAGCTTTAGCCCCGAGCGCCGCTCTAATATAAGGCAGAAGTGCTTCATCTGTGTGAATACTTCACTTCTCACCAATGTTAACAGCATTAGAAGCAATAAAAGACAACTTTAATAGCAACAGTTCAGACTAATGTTGCATCCAAATAAAAGGCTATTAACTGTTTCGCGGTAGTAAAGTAAGGTTAAGGTTAATTGTCCATTATTAGTAAACCCAGCACACAGCACTCTCCTCATATGGCTTCTGGCTTGACCTTGAGGAGCGTCTGAACTCATGTATTATTCACTTTCCTTCCTTAGCACACGTTGCTGACTTTAACTGTCAATGCAAGTGTCTCCAGCCATGTGTGTCTAATGAGCATAAACGCTTTAAACTTTTTCCTGTCTTTAAATGGCTTTTTTTTTTTTTTTTTTTTTTTTCCCAAACTGTCTTCCAGCTGAAAATAACGATACGGCAATGAGCGCCAATTAAACCGCTGCTCCTCCAGCCTCTGTGTGCAAAAATAGTCGGCAGCCCGATTTTTTGACTGACTACTCTTTGGAGCCGGTTTCAAAGCACTGGCACTGACAAGCCGGTACCCAATAATGGAGAGCGCTGCCTGTCTTTCTGAAAGACACGAAGCAGCGCGCAGTTAGCTGGTGCAACGAGCTGGCAGGGCATTTTCATCCTGACGAGGAACAGGAAAGGAGAAGATCCCTGGAGTATTCCTGCTGATGGAGTTAATGTTTACATCCGGAAATTTCGCGCATGCGCACAGCGCCAGAGGGCAAAAAGATGATTCTCTGACGTAGCCACGCTGCCGCCTTGGAAAAGCTCCGTTAACTAAATAAAACCTGGAGATGTTGGTATTATTAATTTATCGCAGTGAGACACAGCAAAGGGAAAATAACGCAGAAAAACCGTTAAAGAACAACTCAAAACCATTTTTCCCCTCGCTCTTTATGTTGTCTACTCTACGCGGATTAGCTTCCGCTGCTATTAGCTAAGCTAACACTGCGGTGGTTGGTTAGCCAACTTAAACAGCTGCTCTACTGACGATCTGTCAGAGTTGGTGTTTAGGTTGTCTTTTTTTAAATTTGTTATCTAAACCGAAACACACCGAATTCCACATCACATCTACATGATACAACAATCAAAGTCAAGCTAGCCTAACTGAACTACTTCCCTCTTCCTCGCCATTTTTTTTATTAAAACTTTATCCTAACGTTATCTAGTAATCTTAGTGTTGACAATTAGTTGCAAAGCAGCACTGCGTCCCTTTTTCTTTTATACATCAGCGTACCTTTAAGATTTAGCACGTTATATTGACAACGAAAACCAATGCTAGTCATTGGTAGCCAGCAGCTTTTTGCCCTCCAGCAGGGATATGCTCGGCTTGACGTCACTCTCCAAGGGTCCACTTCCAGCTGACATCACATTCGGCAGGATACTAAACCCGAGCGAGAGTGAAAGCATCACGTCCTCTCCTCCCATGGAGAATATGTGACTCTGATTGCATCTGGAAGAGGCAATCAAAGCCAGAGTGAAGAGGGACAAATCTCAGAAGTGGGGAGATGCACTGGAATGATACAGTCTCTTATCGTGGGAGCTTGAAAGCGCCCACGCTGAGAGAATCAATAACACCGGCTTCACACATGCAGGGAGGGTGAGGATGCACTCTGCACGCTGAAAGAGTCATTTACAAAAAAACAACTGTCTTTAAATCACCATATGGCCCAGCTAACATATCCCCAGGTAGTGCAGTGCAGTAATCCCAGTGCCAGCTTGTTTGGGACATTACAAAAGCAGCAGATGAGTAAGTAATCGTCATTATCTCGGTCTGTAATGGCACCGAGACACTGCGTGATCAGATTTTACCCTGAAGCCTGTTGCAGAGGTAGACTCTCTTGAACCCTCTGTTTAGGAGGACTATTAGCGGGTGGAGAGCAGCAGTGCGGAGGGTCCTGCAATATTTTCCCGGTTTCCATGGAAACCCCTTCATATGAAAGGAGCGCCGATGGGATGCGGCAGCCCTCATTGAATCGGTTATAGGGGTGCGAACGGAGATCGGCGCAGACGTCTGAGAAAGCACAACAATAGGACGGAGTCTCTGGGGGGGTGAAAGGCCAGGCCGCCCGGGGCGCCAACAAAGGTTTCATCTACATCCACCCCAACGGCGTCGCTTCTGAACAAATCACTCTCGCCAATTTGCCAGTGACATTTAAGCTCAGGAGTATTGTGGGCGATTGAAACACCAAGGCAGGCATTGATTAGAGTCTGCTGATATTTCAGGTTCTGACAATAGTATTGCATCATTAGCGTCTGTCTGTCAACGTGGTTAAAAGCAGGAGCTTCCACATTTTTTTTATTCCCAACAAATCAAGAAAATATCCTTTTATCGTCACGGTGGTGATTGTATTCCATCAATCTTTATAAGCAAACAGGATCAACCTTCTGTGTCATAATTACAGTGTAGCATCTGAATACAGATTTTATTTGCTTAAAGCAATTTTTATCTTGTTTCTCCACTGAAAACATTGGAAATTAAAATAATTAATCGTAGCTCCCACTACAACTCTCCCACCAAAAAATGTGCAGCCCTCAAAATCCCATTAATTTTCATTATGCAGGGTTTCCCCCGGTGGTTGGGACGCAAAGGCAGTCACTCATCCAGCAGCCCACTGTGTTTTTGAGCTAAAAAATGTTCAAAGTTGACAGGAAATTTGAAAATATCACTTGATAATTATGTCTTATTGGAATATTAATACTAGAACACCAAATATAAGCTCTAAAAATGCAAACTTTTTAAAAAAACTGAAATAAATAAGCAATGCTTAGCCTGGTGGGGGCAGAAGTAAAGCCTGGTGGCCAGGCCTATAAAACCCTATTATAATAAACTCACCCTATGGAATAAAAACCCTATATTGTAGCTAAGCTAAAAGCATGAAGACAATAAAAACTGTTTCTCTGGCACAACCACCTGTTTGACATCTTGGAAGTGTTTGAGAGTCGGTAAGTAAATTGTTGAGCTGCATTTTTGCTTGTTTTTATAAGTATCATATTTGCTGCTGATCTCCTTTAACAAGCGTGAAGGTCAGGGATGCATGCTGATGTGTGCAGTAATCAGGGGGTTGCAGCTGACTAAAACGAGAAAAAACTTTAGCAATTTTGGCAAGAAGAATAAGGATTATTCATCTTAAACAATCTGTGTAGAAATATATGTTTTGTCATGAAATGTATTGGGGTTTTTCCTTGATTTTAAATGAAGAAATAAGACTTTCTCTTAGTGAAAGGAAAAACTGATTTGGTCACTTAGAAATATTTCATATCAGAAAATAAGACTTTTTTTAAACCAGTAAATAATATTAAAAACATATTTTTGAAGGCAGAATGTTGAAGCAGCTACTCAACAGAGCTAGAGGTAAGTGATGTGTTTTTATGTTATGTTTTAATGCTTATCTAACTCCAAGTGGTGCTTATCTATAAGATGTTTTCTGGGAACAAAGCTCTAAAATCTCTCCTCCGGGTCACTAAAACACTGTAACATAAGCTATTTAAAAGAGAAAGAGGATTGTTCACCTGATTATCAGCCAGACCAAAGAGTAACGGACCGTTTTAGCCAACTCTGTGAAACAACTCTAAAACTACGACTGTATTTCAAAATAAAAGTCTCAAAAACAGATGCAAACTTGTAGCACTCACTTTAACAGCCTGGGCGCCATGCTACTGGCTCAAAACAGAAATTATAAAGTCCTCCATGCTTTTTGTTTGATAGGGAATGTGATTGTGACTTCACATCTCCATGCTAAAGGCTAAAAGATGTCCCACACTTCACCCAAAACCGACGAGATCGATCACGTGGTTGAAGGAAGTTCGTATTCACACACATTTTTCACACACACCGTGAGACATTTCACGATCTTTGTCGGTATTTTATGAAGAATTACACAAATTTAATTCCTCACCACATCTGATAAATGATCCCCAAAGGTATTCATGTCGACTGGTTATTGTTTACAAAGAGGTTGAAGCCAAGGGTCAAAAGACGCCAATGACACCCCCATCTGGTGGCCTGGCATGACAACTACAGCTGACTACGTCAATGAGTTTAATTTTGGCTGAAATGGCTCTCCATACATCCACCCCAACGGGGTCGCTTCTGAACAAATCACTCTCGCCAATTTGCCAATGGCATTTAAGCTCATTGGCAAATTTTTATGCTTCAAGTAAAATATTTGAGAGCCATAAGCAAATCATGAGTACTATAGAGGTTTTTTTTTATACCACCTGAAATTTCCTTCAGAAGTACAAAAAACATTTCTGCTGCCGAGTGTAGTAAGTTATAAAATATTACATTATAATGTTGTTTAAACCGTATTCCGACTTTTTCTGTGTATTTTATGACTGAACCGAAAACTTCACTCCGATTTAACCGCAGAGGTTTTCTTGAAAGTTTCATTAGTCTCATCAGTCGAAGTTATTTAAAATTAATTCTTGAAGGCAGAAGGAACAACAAAACACTGTAATCACTAAGACAGACAGCCAGATCCCTCCAAAGATTAACAACATCGTGACAAGGAGAAAATCAATTCGGCTTCAGATAGAGCTTTTCATTTGTGTCCAGTCATCATTACTTTCAGACCATCCAATTTCCTAAACTGTCAGCTGCAGGTATAACAACAGTTAATAAAAGCAGATAAAAAACATGCTTACTTAAAGATGAAGATATATTTCCAGTTGACCCAGTATTCTGCCACTACGTCTTTATATCAGCTGAGAAATGAGAAATTCTCCAACAGACATTTATAACATTGGTTTTTAGCAAAAAGAATGAAGTGTGCCCAT